GAAATTGTTTCGCTATCGAGTATGGTTAGGTCTGAGAAGGTCAGGTTGATTTTTGGATCGAATTTGGAAGAGATGGTGAGTTCCGGGCATCTAAGAAAGCCGAAAAAAGCTAGAATGAACATGGCGTCGAGTGTGCGGGCTGTACTGAGAGGCTGGTAACCTGTGCGGAGGGTGTGGATACATTTTGTGAGGATGTCTAACATTATGGGTTGTCTGGAGTCGGGACAGGTGGGCTGGGATCGCTGGATTCCTCTGATCAGGAGGGAGGATTGTGAATTGCTTATTTCGGGCGAGGGAGCGCCGAACATCAGCTTGTGGAAAAATTGGATGCCACTCAGGTAACCTTTGATGGACCCAACTTGGAGACCCTTAATGCTGTTAAGAAAAGAGACGAATGAGGTGATTGAAAGTAGGGAAAAATCGGGGAACGGTGTGTTGTATGAGCGGTGGAATGCCTTGAAGCATCTCCACGCTGTCACATATGACTGAAGGGTTCTGGGAGAAACTGCTTGGAGGATAGTGTCAAGCGATGCATCGAGAAGGGGTTTTAATGGGTGGGTTACAGGAATATTAATTCTGAATAATGAGGTACTGGAGTTGGGAATTGGTACGCCTCTGGAGCCAGCATCCTGAATTTCTGAAACATAAAGCGAGACAGAGAGTCAGCAATTTGGTTTTCTGAACCTGGAACGTGTTTAGAAATTATTATAAATTGGTCGCATGCTGCGATCAATGTTAAGCGTCTAAGGAGAGGTGTGAGGGCGGGTGAATAAGAACGGCCTTTATTAATGCACTGAACAGCTGCTTCGTTGTCGCAGTGCACTAAAATACTTTTAGAAGCCCATTCATTCCCCCATAAGAAGGCTGCTACCACGAGGGGGTAGAGCTCGAAAAAAAGCTGGGGACTGGGGTGAGCCCTGCAGCTGGGGGGGCCATGGAGACGCAAACCAACGTCCTTGGTAAAAACCTCCGAAACCAACTGAGGGAGCTGTGTCTGTAAATTGTTGGATGTCAACAGGAGATGAAACGAGGTTGTTGTAAAAAAGGGAAAGGCCATTCCATTGTTTAAGGAACATTATTCATAACTTAAGTTCATCGCAGCATGCGTGAGATAGGGGAATGAGGTCCTCGAGCGCGTGGACAGACGATGTGAGTGAGAGAAGATGCGAGATGAAGGGGCGGCCTTGGGGAATGATGCACATTGCGAAGTTTAAGTGTCCGAGCAGAGAAAGGAGTTTGCGTTTAGAACAGCTTGGGCTGGCGAGCAGGGTAGAGGAGATGAGGATTATTCTATCGATCTTCTCCTTGGGCAGGGAGAGCTGAAATTTAGCTGAGTCTAAGTTGATGCCGAGGAACTCGATGAACGTAGCGGGACCCATGGTTTTTTCCTGAGCGATGGGGATCCCAAGCTCGGAAAAAACTTTTTGGACTGTGAGGATGTGGGAGGTTGGGATTGCATCGGGAGGTGAAATGACCAGAAAGTCGCCTAGGAGGTGAATAAGGTGGGACATTGCGTAATTATTGATCCAGCAAACGGCTTCAGATAACATGTTAAAAATTTTGGGGCTGCTTCTGCATCCAAAGGTTAAACGGACGGCGAAATAGAATTTCCCGAGCCAACGTATCCGGAACAAATGCCTGGAGTCCGGATGAATAGGCATCATTTTGAAAGTGATGTCTATTTTTGCGAGCCATTGGTGTAGCAGTGAAGAGCGAGTATTGTGATTTCGCTTGGAGGAGAGAGTTGAAGGGGACTGGGGGCGGGGCTGTGTTTTGCCAGCGAGTACGGCCAAGCGCTTGCTTGGGCAGCGGGCCCCGAGCTGGAAGGGGCGGGCGGCGGGGCTGTGTGTGACGGCCAGTACAGCCAAGCGCTTGCTTTGGCCGCGGGCCCCGCGCTGGAAGGGGCGGGCGGTGGGGCTGTGTGTGGTGGCCAGTACGGCCAAGCGCTTGCTTGGGCCGCGGGCTCCGAGCTGGAAGGGACAGGCGGCGGGGCTGTGTGTGACGGCCAGTGCGGTCAAACGCCTGCTTGGGCTGCAGTCTCCAAATTTAAGGTGGCGGTGGCGGGGCTGTGTTCGATAGCCAGTGCGGCCAAGCGCTTGCTTGGGCTGTGAGGTCTGAGCTGAAAGTGGCGTGCGGCGGAGCTGTGATTGGCGGCGGAGGCAACCAAGTGCTTGCTTGAGCTACGGGCCCTGGCGTTGTCGGAGTAGAAGCCGCGGTGCGAGGCTGAGCTGCGGCCGGTGTCGCATGTACCCTTGCGGCGGCGGGATCCGGGGCGCGGCCCAGGCTTGCTGATGGCCTGACGCCGTGGCTTGATAATCGCGGAGAGCTGGGCCTTGCGCGAGAGGAAGACTGTGGAGTCCGGTGAGGCATATCTGGAGGTTTGTCTTGCCTTTTGCCCTTCTTTGGGCTTGGGGTGGACTCGGGAGAGAGGTTAGGTAGATGCAGATTTGTATACAAGTCATATAATTCTGCTTTGTTTAACCTGCGTGAAGGTTGGATGTCGGATTTGGTCACCGCTTGCCTCAGACCAGACACAGTCCACTTTCCTATTGGTGGAATCGTTGGCCTGGCCGAGCGATAGGAGGACGCCGGGGAGTCGACTGGGGTTCTCGCCGGAGGTGGCGAGGGTAGGCCTAGGCATCTTGGGAGGCGAGTGGCTGCTCGAGCCGTACCGCGTCCGCGAGATGGGGCCTGGGGCTCGATTTTTGGTGCTACGCTGAGGAGGAGTGGTCTTAGGGCCGGCTGGTTGAGGCAATGGGACCGGAGGAGAGTTGGATTCGTCTTCAGACGAGGAGGTTTGTTTTTGCGACATGGTTGTAGACGAGCGAACCAAGATGCTGATAAACCGTCAATGGATAGAGTTAAGTCAGCTGTATTTATATCATGGTGTTGATTAACTTGAGTGCGCTCCACCTGTGTTAATTAGGCTAAGTATCTGACGCGCTCCTCCCGAACCTTGTTAATAAAAATGTTTCAATAAAATGTTATTGAAAGATTAATTGCATAAATATGTTTATTTACTGGAAGGTTAACTAAGATTATTGGTAAGGATTAATGGACTAATCAGAAAATATAATACAAAACATAATAGAAAAAAAATTATCAATAGATTAATTGATTTATGTAAAAAATAATATAAGCAATATCAATAATATAAGTAATATATATATATATATATATATATATAACTAACATTAATATATATTATTAACATAT